TGTCCAAATGTGGTGCATGACGGCTTAGGATTTAGGGTTTAGGCTTTAGGGTGCAGGGTTTAGGATTTAAGGTTTAAGGTTTATGGAAATAATGGGACCTCTTTCATAGAGGTCCCTGTGAGAAGGAAGAGTATGGTGTATCGGGATCGTGCTCCCCCTGTTTGGGGTCCAATACATGATATACCCGCCGCGTGGTTTTATGTCCAGCGTTTGGCGCGAGAGTGGTACTCTCGCCACAGTTTTGGGCAAGTTTCAAAGACTTCGAGGGGCCTGAAAACGTGCTCCGTATTTTAGGAAAGTTGCTAAACTTGTGGGTTTTGGCGTTATTTAGGCCGCAAAGATAATTCGTACACAAAAAGGTCCAGGAGGCGCGGAATCCATTGTGATTTACAGTATTTTGGTGTGTTTGAGGGTAAACAATGCTCGTTTTCGCCCCCCCCCCTCCCCACCCTTGAGACTCTTGGAAGGCACCAAGAGGACCGATCCTTGGATAAATGGGGCGATGATAAAATCAAATCTGAACTCCTCACCAACTTGGACTGATGGGGCGTAGCTTGGACCAATGGGAAGGATCCTTGGACTAAGAGGAACGATCCTCAGACTAATTCATTCATGGGGCTGAGATATTTCTAAATCAGAACTCCTTACCAGCTTGGACTGATGTGGCGATCCTTGGACTAATGGGAACGATCCTTGGACTAAGAGGAACGATCCTTGGACAAATGGGGCTATGATAATTTTAAATCTGAGCTGATAGGGCATAGCTTGGACTACTCGGAACGATCCTTGGACTGAGAGGAATGATCCTTGGACTAATGGGGCGACGATAAAATGAAATCTGAACTCCTCACCAACTTGGACTGATGGGGCTTTGCTTGGCTCAATGGGAAGGATCCTTGGACTAAGAGGACCGATCCTTGGACCAATGGGGCGATGATAAAATGAAATCTGAACTCCTCCTTGGACTGATGGGAAGAATCCTTGGACTAAGAGGAACGATCGTTGGACTAATTCATGGGGCTAGGATATTTCTAAATCAGAACTCCTTACCAGCTTGGACTGATGGGGGTTAGCTTGGATTAATGGGAAGGATCCTTGGACTAATGGGGCGATGAATATGGCTTGGACATGGGGCAATGCTTCTGGTTTGGGCATGGATGCTCTGCTGACCATATGCTCTTGGAACACATGGTTTGGGCATGGGGCGATGATTATGGTTAGGGCATGGATGCTCAGCTGACCGTATGCTCTTTAAACACGAACGTGTATAATGTGGCAAAACGTGGGACGGCAATCCACGCCATAGCGGCCCTAGCATATACCTGTTGTTTCTGGAAACCCGCACATAATGATCCCTATGTTGGTATGGGGAAATGGGTTCTAGAATGAGTTGGAGAGTCAGGGTCACTCAAGCCCACGAACACCGTTTCAAGGTCTTTATGAGGGAAATGCGTATGCGGTAGAAATACTGTTGTTGAGAGCAGTCAAAGGACGAGGGAGTAAGGGACTTGTGAAGACGGGGTCACTGCCGGAAATACGGCTTACTTTTCACACAGAAACTCAAGCAGGAAAACAAAGTATTGCTTTTCATAGCATCCCAGGAAGGATCCAGAAAACCTGCATTCTGCTGTGGCCCCTAAGCCTTAAACCCTGGCTTGCGCCGGCTGTGGATAGAAAAGACCGTAACACGTAACCTAGCTGCCACTTCGGGGTGAAGGAAGAAATGGGTGGGAGGGAAAAGAACAACTTTCAAAATGCGGGAATTGCCGTTCCTAAGTGGTCTCAAGGGAAACTATAGTTAGTAGTTGTTGCCCTCATGGTGAAAGTTCTGTCCCATATCTAGCAATCGTGCAAAGGACTTCTGAGGGATGCAGCAAGCCTTTTGTGCACGGTCAGAGCTGCACATATCGAACTTGTCATGTCACATCATGCATTCTTGTTTTAGAACACATCCACGACCTAACTTCTCTGCGCACTTTAATCCCGCATCTCTCTCGCATATAATCAGTGTCTATGAAGAAGAGATTTGGAGTCCGTAAGTTAGACACTGGGATTTGTCCATCTGGGTCGCTGAGTTTTCTTGGGCTTTCTGTAACGCCCTTGATTTGGATGGATGCCTCTGTAACCTAAAGCCTAAACCCTAAACCCAAAATCCTCGCGTAGCTTTGTGCGTGGCCCAGGAAACCTTTGCGGCAGGGAGGGGGCAAAGTTCTTGTCTTCGTCGGCACGTGTCTTAGCCTGATAGGAAAGTGGTAGTTGCTATGAAAAGGGAACCCCAAAATTGACCTCAACGTATGGGTAGTTCTCAAAATTAGGGTCCCATTTTGGTACCCCTATGTATTATGTGCCGTAATATAACCTATGACCGAGAGGGACCCATAATTTTGGGAACTACCCATATTAACAGCCCTTACTGCAGGGACTCCCAAAAGGGGGCCTTTTTCTTGGGGAGAATCAGATCAGCAAAGTTCGGTTTTTGGCATCATGACGAGGGCTTGGGCTGCTTGCTATATTTACCCATGAGCTCCTATGCAGTTTTTCTTGATAATTCTTCCCCAAAGAGGAATTACATAGGGCGGGGGTTCTGATTCGCATCTAAGAGTAGTCATGCCAACAAGGTGACAAGAATCGCCGGATTTAAAGAGTCTCTGCTTCCTGGCGTGCCTGCAGAAACTTCCATAAACTTGAGACATAATCCGTTCCAGGGTAGCTTCAAGCCTTGGGCGTGCCTGGCTTTGGACCATGAAGAACCCTAAGCCCTGAACTGGTCTCAACCTTCACTATTACAGCCCAGTAAATCTTGCGCTACATTGCGGTATACGAGAAGCTCTCAAAAGTTAGGTTCCCCGATCTACTCGTAAAAACTGTACTCCTGATAACAGCCTCCAAGATGGGGTCCATAATTTGGGGAAACCCGCATATCAGTGGCAAAGCATGTTTATGCAAAAATGCGAGTGTCTTATAATTCACTCTCCAGCGTCCTCGTCCCCTTGGCTAAACAGTTTCTCTTCCTATAGGCCTCCTTAAAGGCACCAAGGGGGACCCACCAAAAATCCCGCATCACCTTAAGTACCTTACTTTCACTATCAACAGCAGCTTGACCCCCCAACCCCTGATAACAGATATTCTCCAAATATACCACGGGGCCATATTGGGTTCTGCTTTATTAAGGGGATCCACCCCTTACCCTCCCCACCTTAGGGTATAGGGTTTAGGGTGATTCGCCGCCCAGGCGTGCTGCAGCGGAGGACCTCGCAGACCACATCGCCGAGGAGTTTGGGCAGCCTCCTGGCTCTGAACAATCACGTGCCCTCATAATTTTGGGACGCTCTAAGCCCTGAACACTACATATTTTGTAGTTTTGGGAAACTCTAAACCCTGAACCCTACAAAAATTGTATAATTTTGGGAAACTCTCAACCCTAAACCGTACATATTTTGTTTATGCTGTCCCCATATAACCCCTATACCCCCTTCAAGATACCCCTAGCTTTGGAATTCCCATTATCGCAGAGTATATCCCAATGCGAATATCTACGTAATTGTAAGCGCTATCGCCTTTCACCTTCAAGATACCCTGATTTTTCAAAGCCCACCAAATTCCCAATATCGTGAAATACACCCCAATGCAAATATCTAATTGTAAGCGCTATCGCCCACCCGCCTCGGCTGTTGGGGTGCACCGAAAGAGAAGCCATGAGAAGCCCCTTCGAAGCACTCATCCAGCCCCGGCGAGTATCAGGGGAATGGGCGCTTTGAATATGAGGGGAAGGGATGGGTATTCGTCAAAGCTTCGGGGGCCAGGTTGAGGGTTTGGGGCTTGCTTTTGTTGAGTGTAGGATTTAGGGTTTGGAGTTTAACGGGGTTGGTAGTCAGGAGGCACGGCTTGAAGGGTGTAGTGCTTAGGATTTAGGGCTAGTGGAGGTCAGTGCGGCAAGGGTAGGATAGGATAGGATAGGATAGATAGGGTACGGTCGCGGGTCTGGTGAGGTGGGTGACGAGAGTAGGGTAGGGTAGGTCACGGTTGTAGGGCCGTAGGGTTTTTAGAGTACATGGGTGAGAAGAATCAGTAGGGTAGTGGTGGGTCGGGTGGGCAGAGTAGGGTCGATAAGGGTTCTGGTCCCCTGGTCTCTTGGTGCACTGGTCTTTGGTTGCGGCTCTTGAAGGTGATGAGCAGCATTTGGAGCTTTTGAAAGGCTAGGACGAATGCAAATGACAACATTTGCGGTTCTTGAATTGCTACGACTACTGTCAATGACAGCATTTTTGCTTACTAAGAGCCAGGAAAACTGTAAATTGCAATGTTTGCGGTTCTTGAAAGGTTACGCATGTTTGACGAACAAGAAAGGTTGCGAATGTCGTAAATTACAGCATCGAGAGATCTTGGAAAGCTACGGATGAGTCTTTCCAATTCTAATATTCGCGCCTCTTGGAAGAGTAAGCATACTGAAAATAACAGGTATCTCGTAAAGTGAACACATCGCAAAACACGCTGCAATACAAATCCATCAGAGGGGTGCAAGAAGATATACGTGTTCTGATCTTCGT